AAATCTAGCATTTGATTGCTATTTGTTGAGTTGTTTATTTTTTCATGTAATCATTGCAACTCTTGCATAAAAGCTTAGTTTTACAACTTTCAAAGCTTAATAATTATGAAAAAAGTAGACTTAGCATTTTAAATAGCATTATGCATTAGAGCAAAATGAAAATAACTTATCATATCATACTTTTTAATAGTAAATATACAATTGGTATTAGCATTAATATTGGAGATGGTCTTACCAAGTAAATGAAGCATTTACTGGTAAATTTGTTATCTATCGCGCCTTTAGTTGATAAATGTGTCATTTTGTAAATAAAGAATCACAAGAATAACTTGTAAATGATGGATTTACCTGGTGAATGATTCATTTACCATAGTATAAATGTAATTTTCTTATAAAATTAGGTCAAAATGTAATTTTCTAAAAATTGAGGAGTTTAAATATAAATATTTAAAAATTAAGTGGTCAAAATATAATTTTTAAAAAGTTAATGAGTCAAAATATAATTTGGGGTCAAAAATAATTAAATGAAAATTGTTTATTTTTTAGTATAGTGGTGTAAACAATATTTTTTTACCATTTTTTATGGTATTTCTGGTTTTTTTCCTAATAGAAAACTTAGTTTAATTTTAAGTTTGTTTTGGATGAGTATCACATATAATTGGCTAAGCAACATTTTGAGCTATAATAAATATAAATCATGTATCAGTAACAAGTGAACATATGCAAAAGCTTAGTAATATAATAAGTTCTATGTGAAAAATGAAAAATTTGAAAACATATTTGTTAGTACAACATAATTTCTAACACTCGTTCATAACGAGTCACTTTTGGGTAATCACGCGAGAACTAGCCAAAAAATTATATCGCCAAAAGAAATACTAATTATCACTTAATTCGATCAGTAATTTAATTAACATAGCTTTGTGAGAAGGTTAATAATTAACTTAGTTTTAAGTGTATAATCACCGTTTCTTATCACTTGGTCTATAATTTATGATTGCCAAATCTGAGGTGTATATTTATAAAGCATACCCGAATATATTATCTCTAGAAAATATAATCTTGTATAGACGTGTTGATGAATATCTTTCTTCGGACCGGTATCATCATGCCTCATATTTAGACCAAGGATGGAGACCATAAATTTTTATTTCAACCTTCTCTCATTTAATATTTTAAAACTCAAAATTTTGTTAACATGCATACACAATTTTAATAAGTGGCACCCTCATATTCAACCTGTCATGTTATCAAAAACATATGTCAGTTCATAGTATAAGCATGGCATAAATATAGCAAGGAGTAAATACCATAAATAAGCCTATATATATATATATATATATATTTTTTTTTTTTTAAAAGGATAAGCCTATATATTTTGATAATGCATGTATAAATCCCTAAAAAAATGCATGTATAAGTATTGTTATATGGAAAAATTCCACACTCCACGTCAGCCGTTAGATAGTTGTCATATGGCATTACAAGTATTAAATGGCCGGGCCAATAGATCGCAAGGGATCGTATCCTCCTAGAGACACAACTCTAGATGCCAACCATAAATAGGAGATAAAACCCAAAAGAGGGCGACTACATTAGGGAGTGCATCATACGGTCGATCTTATTCTCCCCTCAGGAGCGAAGACCGCTTCAAGAAGTACTAAGGCGCCGACCACACCCACGTTCATGCAACGTGGCAGCTTTTCAAACATGTGGCAGGCATTAAATGCATGCATAGTTAGTAGAAAACGTGGGAGACCAGCCAACATCTCAATCACCAGAGAGTACTGTTCCGTGGAGTGGCAAGATCGGCTCAGAGTACGGCCCAAGGAGCTGGGTGGGAAACAAGTATGATTGTATATATGAAGAGGGAAGGCAGAGAGGGGGGGAGGCCCTTCGAGGAGAAAATCACTTAAGATCGATCTCTCTCCCCTCGATCATAAAAAAGATAGCATTGTAATACCTCTCCAAAAGGCTCCCTCTGAAGATTGTAATTTCTCCTAAAACGATTAGTGAAACTACTCACACAGACGTAGCCTAGCATTTGGGTGAACCACTATAAATTCTTGTCTTATTTTCCTCTTTTTAGCTCTAGATTACACTCTAAATCTACGTATTAACACCAAAGACTCATCATCACTCTGTTCATCTAAATTGAAAAAATCCCAAAAAAATACCCAATGAGTTTAACTAAATCCTACATTTATTTTAAGTTTTTTACAATCCAAAAGTATCCCCTATATTTTAAGATTATACCAAAATTTTCCCATACGTTTTCAAAAAAGTAAAAACTACAACCCTTTAATCGGTCAAAGTTTTTGAAATACCAAAACTAACCTAAATAATTACTACTTGTATATTATTTTAACTATTAATTACATAAAATTTTTAAAACACAATTTCTAAAACTAAATAAAATGAAAATAAAAAGATCTAACGTATTTGGATGATCGTGAAATAGAATTTAGTGTAAGATAAAATAACTTTACAAGTCTGAATTCACGAGTCGTGTGTCAATAAAGTGTGTACAATATCTTAAATGGAATTAGAAAAGTCTAATCTATGAATTGGAATTTCTTTTTAAAAAAAATAGAATTCATTTTATTAAAAAGTTTACATTTTTTCTCTAAATTCAGTTTTTTTAATATTTAAGATAATTTTTAATTATTGATCACCAAGAGTATTAATGTAATTGTCAACACTTTAATTATTTTATTCATTTGAAAAACTTATGTTATGATTTTAAGATAATTTCGGTTCATTTTGCTAGTTTGAATCACAACCCAAGTTTTTACTACAATATTTTCTCTCATAAAAATTTAAATTTAATTTTTTTATTATAGTATTTTCTATCACATAAATTCACTTTTTCACTCAAATCCTTAACTTAAACGAGCCAAACGAACATATTTAAAAACTTGAGCAAAACGTTTTGAATTATTAAAACATGTAGGATTTAGTTAAAATGTTAAGGGGTATTTATGTATTTTTTTTTTTTGAGAAAATTGTTGAACTTACTCTTAAGAGTACGAGAGTCTTGATTTTTATTCTTAACTCTTGATTATTACCCTTTTGACTAATATAGTTATTGTTCTTTTTATAACTAAAATCACAACTTAAGTTCTTTTGCTACAATATTTTTTCTCATAAAAATTTAAATTTAACTTTTTTGTTGCAGTATTTTCTCTAACATAAAAAAAATTTGAGTTGCGAAAAGAACACATAGTTCTTTCACTAAAATGTATTAATCAAGTGTAAAAAGTTAGATTTGATTGTTTATGAGAGCTTTTTACTATAGCAAAACTCGAATTCTAAACTCGAATCAGCGAAATAAACGGGGCCTAAAATTTATATATTTAAAGGGTATTTGTGTCATTTTCTCTTTCTCTCGTCTAAAGTAGATCCGTTACCCAGCCATAAATAATCAAGCCCGACCCATTTTATATATTTAAAGGGTATTTGTGTCACTCTCTTCGCGCGCTCTCACTCATCTCATTTCACTTGCTTCCAGTTCAGGTACGCTCTCTTTTTCCCCTTCACATTTTTCCATTTTCCTCCATTGCACTTCTTCTTCTTCTTCTTTTTCTTCTTTGTTTTTCCTCTTTTTATTTCCAATCTGAAACCACACTTTTTTATGCTTGTAATCGTCGATTTCCCTCTTCTCCTTCCTTATTCTCTTCTGCAGAGCAACAGCAGCAGCAGCTAGGGTTTTGGTTCAGAAGCTTATCAAACTTCAGGTGACTTCCCTTCCGTCTGATATTTTTGAGCCCTAATCTCTAATTTTTCCTAGTCAGTTAGTAATTATTATTAGTACTGATTTTATATGACTCTAGTGGCTATGTTGGTGGGATAATTGATTTTGGGGAAAAACAAAATTGACATTGACAGGTTTGACAAAAAAAAATGGATGATAGTCTTTACGATGAGTTCGGAAACTATATAGGACCTGAGATTGAGTCTGACCAAGAGAGTGATAGGGATGAGGAAGATGAGAATCTTCCAGATAGGCCCGGGGATGAGGCGGTGGCATCCGATGGTGATCGTAGGGAGAGGAGGCGCCTGCCGCTTCCGACGGGTGGTTAACAGCCTCCAACGATGTCGATATGGATAATCAGATTGTCCTTGCTGAGGACAAAAAGTACTACCCTACTGCGGAAGAGCTTTATGGTGAAGATGTTGAGACATTGGTTATGGATGAAGATGAGCAACCACTTGAGCAGCCCATTATCAAACCTGTTAGAAATATTAAGTTTGAGGTTGGGGTTAAGGATTCGTCGACTTATGTGTCCACGCAATTCCTTGTTGGTTTAATGTCGAACCCTAGTCTGGTACGGAATGTTGCACTTGTGGGGCATTTGCAGCATGGGAAGACTGTCTTCATGGATATGCTAGTTGAGCAAACTCACCATATGTCGACTTTTGATCCAAATAGTGAGAAGCATATGAGATACACAGATACAAGGATTGATGAGCAAGAGAGGAGGATATCAATCAAAGCAGTTCCAATGACTCTTGTACTTGAGGATAGCAATTCAAAATCCTACCTCTGTAATATCATGGATACCCCTGGTCATGTCAATTTCTCTGATGAAATGACTGCCTCCTTGAGGCTTGCTGACGGTGCCGTGTTGATTGTGGATGCTGCAGAAGGAGTTATGGTTAGTCATTCTCTCTAAATTCTGTGGCTTAATTTAAATTCTCTCTTTCTTTCCTTTTCTTTCTCCTGTCTAAATATAACGACTTAGACCTGCATAAGTTGGAAACTTTTAGAGTGGGAATTTTCTCTTACTATGAATAAAGATTTTACAAAAGTGGCTAACTTTAGGTGGCCTTGTTTGAAAATGGCTACCTTTTTTTTTTTTTTTTTTTTTTTTTTTTGTGAAGAGGAAATCAAAAAGTAAAAGTTTAGCAATGAAGTCTGAGACGTTCAATTGGGTTAGACAGAGTGTGTAATTACATGGCACAAGTGATGTAGTTAATCTACTTCTTGCATTGGTAGAAGTTACTTGAGTCTCTTGTATTTATGCATTTAATTCCTATTGTTCGTAGGTTAATACAGAGAGGGCTATACGTCATGCAATCCAAGAGCGCCTCCCCATTGTTGTTGTAATCAATAAGGTAACTTTTTTGTGGTTTCTTTTTGCGTCTTTTTCTGAACTTTGGGCTCCCCATTCTCATGCCTTCTGATCCACCTTTTTAGTTGCTTATTGCTCTATTGTATTTGATTTGTATAAACTTTTGCTTTACAGGTTGACAGGTTGATTACAGAACTTAAACTGCCACCTAGGGATGCTTATTTTAAGCTAAGACATACTCTGGAAGTTATCAATAACCACATATCTGCGGCCTCGTCTACTGCTGGTGATGTCCAGATTATTGATCCAGCTGCTGGAAATGTTTGCTTCGCAAGTGCTACTGCAGGATGGTCGTTTACTTTGCAATCCTTTGCTAAATTGTATGTGAAACTCCATGGAATCCCTTTCGACGCTGATAAGTTTGCTTCTCGTCTTTGGGGAGATATGTATTATCATCCAGATGCGAGGGCTTTCAGGAAAAAACCTCCTCCAAATGGGGGAGAAAGATCGTTTGTCCAGTTTGTACTTGACCCCCTTTATAAAATATATAGCCAGGTGATTGGTGAACATAAGAAGAGCGTGGAGGCAACTCTTGCAGAATTTGGTGTTACTCTTAGCAATGCAGTGTACAAATTGAATGTAAGACCTTTGCTGAGGCTTGCTTGTAGCTCTGTCTTTGGTTCAGCCTCGGGCTTTACTGACATGTTGGTTCGTCATATTCCTTCCCCCAAGGAAGCTGCAACTAGGAAGGTTGACCATACATATACGGGGCCAAAAGATTCTCTAATATATAAGGCCATGAAAGATTGTGATCCTTCTGGCCCTCTAATGGTAAATGTGACAAAACTGTATCCCAAGTCCGACTGTAGTGTGTTTGATGCCTTTGGTAGGGTTTACAGTGGCAGGATTCAGACTGGACAGACTGTACGGGTATTGGGAGAAGGATATTCACCAGAGGATGAGGAGGACATGACAGTTAAAGAAGTAACAAAATTATGGGTATATCAAGCTCGAGACAGGATACCAATAGCTGAGGCTCCTCCTGGTACTTGGGTTCTCATTGAAGGAGTGGATGCTTCCATCATGAAAACTGCCACTCTCTGCAGCGAGTATTATGATGAGGATGTGTACATATTCAGGCCTCTTCAATTCAATACTCTTTCGGTTGTGAAAACAGCTACTGAACCACTAAATCCTAGTGAGCTGCCAAAAATGGTCGAGGGCCTTAGAAAGATCAGCAAGAGCTATCCTCTGGCCATCACTAAAGTTGAGGAATCTGGGGAGCACACTATTTTAGGTACAGGAGAGCTCTACTTGGATTCTATCATGAAGGATCTGAGAGAGCTTTATTCAGAAGTAGAAGTGAAGGTATATATTTCCTCATGCTGTCTTTTATTTTTTTGTTGCTTATGGTTTTACTTTCTCATAATTCATTTTCCTTTTATTTTCCAAAAGCATTTGTTGTTTCTGGCCTGTTATATGCTTTGCCACTTAATATATAGGCCCTAAAATCATGTAGGTGGCAGATCCTGTTGTTTCGTTCTGTGAAACAGTGGTGGAGTCCTCTTCAATGAAATGTTTTGCAGAAACACCCAACAAGAAGAATAAAATAACCATGGTAGGGAACCTTCTGATCTCCACTTCACCGAGTCGCTCTTAGATACATGCCATTCATTTTTGTGCAATCATTTAAATCATCTTTTACAATTTTTAGATTGCGGAGCCACTGGAGAGAGGACTTGCAGAGGACATAGAGAATGGTGTTGTTAGCCTTGATTGGCCGCGGAAGGATATTGGTAACTTTTTCCAGACAAGATATGAATGGGATGTGCTTGCTGCACGGTCCATATGGGCGTTTGGTCCTGATAAGCAGGTAACATATATATATATTTCTAATAAGAAACTGGCATATTATTAAAAGGAAAAAAATACGTGTACAAGCATGTACGTAGTGTATAGATATATAGGTTTGGTGATTTATTGTTTTCTTACTTTCCCTGAAAAACTGTTTTGATCATACTGGTTGTAATGTGTAATGTTAGCTTTGTACATCTGTGGCTGTTATTGGTATGTGTTTTAACTCCAAATCCTGTTTTCACCATGTGCTTCACAAATGTCACACATCCAGGGCCCTAACATTCTATTAGATGACACACTTTCAACTGAAGTTGACAAAGGCTTGCTGAATGCTTGCAAGGATTCTATCGTCCAAGGGTAAATATATATTCTTTTGTCCCTCTTTTTGTTAATCATCTTTTTTTTCTTTTTTTTTTTCATTTTTAGTTTGGGTTTTTTAGTCAGAGTTTGTTTTGTTTAATTATTCTTTCTGTTTTTTCTTTTTCCAAATTTATTATTATTTTCTTTTTCTTTTTCTTCTTTTCCTTGGAGGGCATGTAAGGTTGTGGGGGTGGGGTCAAAATGAGTGTTGACTTAAATCTGAAATCTCAAGATATAAATGTTTAACTGTTCAAAATACAACGTATAATTTTTTTTAATATCCTTAAAATGTAGGGTATACAAATGAACAAAATCCTTTTGTTAATCTAATTCATTGCCTGCTATAATGTTATTATGAGCAGATTTCAATGGGGTGCTCGAGAAGGACCTCTTTGTGATGAGCCCATCAGAAATGTGAAGTTCAAAATTGTTGATGCAAAAATTGCACCTGAGCCATTGCACCGTGGATCTGGTCAGATCATTCCCACAGCTCGTCGAGTGGCCTATTCATCATTTCTTATGGCAACCCCAAGGCTTATGGAACCTGTATATTATGTGGAGGTAAATGGTTGCCACGTCTAATTGTCTACCTAAGATTTGAGTTTTAAATTGACCATTTGAATGCTTCTTTCAATGTGAATGATGGAACCAAATTCCAATGTGGTAGTTAATGTGAAACTTTGGCATGAAAGCTTGAGCGAAATGCTTGAGACATGAATATCCCTACACATGGGACTTGTTATTTGATGCGAGAATAATTTGTGATTTATTTCAGATCCAAACACCAATTGACTGTGTCTCTGCAATTTACACCGTTTTATCTCGAAGACGTGGACATGTTACAGCTGATGTTCCTCAACCGGGGACTCCAGCTTATATCGTCAAGGTTGGTTGCTAGAACTTCTTATATGGAGTTTTGACTGTTGATGTTTTGTATCTTAGTTTTTGGCCTATTCACGGCAAAAGCTTAAGTGTTGAGCTTAAGGGAATGTTTGGTTTGAGGATTCAAACTATGATTTGAATCATGGTTCATGGTTCGCTACAGTATTTTCTCTCGTAAAAAATACACGTAAATTGAAAATGGTTCTAATCACATTATTTTAATCCATGAACCAAACATCTCCTAAATTTAATTTTGTCTTGATACTATTTCCTTTTGTGAATTCCAGGCATTCTTGCCTGTAATAGAGTCATTTGGGTTCGAGACGGACTTAAGATACCATACCCAAGGACAAGCCTTTTGCCTTTCAGTTTTTGATCACTGGGCTATAGTTCCTGGGGATCCCCTTGACAAGAGTATCGTTCTGCGGCCACTTGAACCAGCACCTATTCAGCACCTTGCTCGTGAGTTTATGGTAAAGACAAGGCGTAGAAAGGTATAATAGTCCTTTCAATACCTTTCTGTCTCCTTCACCACACTCTTGATAAAGGCTGGCTATGTTTTTACCTTCGATTATGCATACTGTGCTGAATGAGTTTGGACAGTTCCTATAAAATGCTTCAGAACTCCGCTAGCAAACACCATTAATTTGCTTTATTTCCCATTTGTGATGGGCACTCAAATTTTTCATACTGAAGATTTTGAATGTGATATGTTCTAGGCTCGTATTTTTCATTCTCCCGTGACAAAATCAAAAGCCCTCATAACTAGTATAGTTTACCGTTACCTTTTATGTGGGAAAGGGGGAAGCATAGCAAAGAATTAACAAACACGCTGTATTTTGTGATGAAATTGGCAGGGAATGAGTGAGGACGTGAGCATCAACAAATTTTTTGACGAGGCAATGATGGTTGAGCTGGCTCAGCAAGCAGCTGATCTCCACCAGCAAATGATATGATCGGAGTTTTTGAACTTGGAAGCAGTTTTAATGTCTTTGTAACTGAGATGGAATATAGTGGCAATTGCTCAAGATTGTAGTTCTGACAGCCCTTGATTCTTGATTTTTTTTGTCGTTGCACAAGTGATACACTTTGTCATCTGCTTTGTAAGTTGTATCCCAAAAGTAAAAGTAGGAATATAGTACTTTTAACAGATTTTACTTCGAAAATCTAGGGCCTGTTTGGTGAGGTAGTTTTTGAGTGAAAAACTCAAAAAAAAGTAATTCAAGTTATAACTTTATTTGAGTTTATGTTCTTTTAAGTTTGAACTCGAGTTTGGAATTAAAATTCGAGTTCAAGTTTCTCCTTCAACTCGAGTTCAGAACTCGAACTCAAGTTAATGAACAGTATTTTTTCTATTATTAAAAATGTTATTAATTTTTTCGTTTTAATTCTGATTGAGATGATTTTTTTTT